CTCAAAAAAAAAAAAAAAATTAGCCAGGTGTGGTGGCAGGTGCCTGTAGTTTCAGCTATTTGGAAGGCTGAGGCAGAAGGGGAAGGATTGCCAGAGCCCAGCAGGTTGAGGCTACGGTGGCCACAAGTGTGCCATTGCTCTCCAGCCTGGGCGACAGAGTAAGACTCTGACTCAAAAAAAAAAAAAAAAAGAAGACCCTGTCTGGCAGAGTTGGTGTGAATCAGCCTGTATGTGAGGGGCATCAGAGGCGTCATAGTGCTGCTGTTCTTTTCTTGGCAACACCAGGTGGCCAGCTTTGATCTGGATGGGACCCTCATCACCACACGCTCTGGGAAGGTCTTCCCCACTGGCCCCAGTGACTGGAGGTGATAAGAGGCAAGAGGGAGTGAGTGAGGCTTGGAGTCCATCTCCAGGCCCCGGGTCACCTGCCACTTCCCACCTGCCCTAGGATCTTATACCCAGAGATCCCGCGCAAACTCCGAGAGCTGGAAGCTGAGGGCTACAAGGTACGGGCTCCTCTTGGTATGTGCACATGGCGGCCAGATGGTGCATCAGACCAAGGCCCTGGTGAGGAGAGCACCCAGTGACACCCATCTGCCTTCCAGCTGGTGATCTTCACCAACCAGATGGGCATCGGACGCGGGAAGCTGCCAGCTGAGGAGTTCAAGGCCAAGGTGGAAGCTGTGCTGGAGAAGCTGAGGGTCCCCTTCCAGGTGCGACTGTTAATGGGTTTGTGGGAGGAGAGACCCAGGTGGGCGGGGCGGAGGTGTCCGGTGGGCTTATGCTGACGGAACCCATATGAGCTACAAAGTCAGGCACTGGCAGCTCTCCTTGGATGGGTGGGGGTTGGGGTAGCACCCAGTAGGTCGTTCCGGGAGGAGCTGAAGACGCTGTGTGACCCTCCCATCGGCAGGTACTGGTGGCCACGCACGCAGGCTTGAACCGCAAGCCAGTGACTGGCATGTGGGACCATCTGCAGGAGCAGGTAGGCTGAGCCGCCCCCCTTTCCCTGCTGAGCCCCCTAATCCGGCCTTCCTCCAAGCATCTGATCCCATCTCCTCCCCCCTCTGCTCTTCCTGTCCCCTCGTCCTTGGTCCCTGCTTTGTTTTGAGCCGTCACATCATGGGTGTTGGCTTGAACCCAGTGCTTTTCAACCCTGAGACACTGGTGATTCATCCATCCACACGCTTGTGTGTGCATGTGTGCAGAAGTTCATCGCATTCTTGAGTTGAAGATGTTGACAAGTGAGACACGTGCCTGGTGCCTAGGCACCCATGAGGGTGGCAACTCTAGGTGGGTAGACGGGAGGGCACATAAAATAGCGGGAAGGATGGAAGCAAGATAAAGCAGGGTGTGGTTTTAGCTACGGGTCAGGGACGGCCTCTCTGAGAAGGTGACGTGGACGAGGAGTCTAAGGGTGAGGGAGGGAGCCAGGGGGCATCAAGGCAGAGTGGTCCAGGCAGGAGAACCAGCAAGGGAAAGGCCCCGAGGTAGGACCCAGCCGGGCGTGGTTGCAGGCGGTGAGGTCCACGTGGCTGGGCCCGAGTGAGCACCGGGAAAGGGCAGGGCCTGTGGGCGGGACTTGGCTTTTGCCCCAGGTGAAGCCGAGCCCTAGGGGGACTCCGGGCTGATGGCGTCGGGAACAGGCGCCCTCTGGCGGCCGCGTGGGGGGACAGACGGGGGCGGGGACTGAAGCCCGGAGAGCAGGGGAGGCGGCCATGGCGGTGCCAAGCGGCGGGGTGGTGGGGACCTGAAGGGTCGGGGGCACGGGCCAAGCGGAGCAGCCCCGGGCGCCCCCGAGCGCTCAAGGGGCAGCCGTGGAAGGCTCCTCACTACGTCTCTCCCAGGCCAACGAGGGCGTGCCCATCTCCATCAGCGACAGCATCTTCGTGGGCGGTAAGGGCCCGGCCGCTGGGGGCGGGCTGGGGCCCCTCTCCGAGCTTGCCGGTGAAGGCTGCCCTGCGCCTTCCAGATGCAGCCGGCCGCCCAGCCAACTGGGCCCCTGGACGGAAGAAGAAGGACTTCTCTTGTGCCGACCGCCTGGTGAGGCCTCCTGCCCCTGCCCCTGGCCCCCGGGAGCCCGGCCCCCACCCTCTGACCTCTGCCCTCACCCCTAGTTTGCCCTCAACCTTGGCCTGCCCTTCGCCACGCCGGAGGAGTTCTTCCTGAAGTGGCCCGTGGCCGGCTTCGAGCTCCCAGCCTTTGACCCGGTGAGGGCCCGGGGCAGGAGCGGTGGGAGGGCTCGTGGGAATGGGGTGAGGGTCTCATGCCTCTTGTCCGGCCCCTCCCAGAGGACTGTCTCCCCCTCGGGGCCTCTCTGCCTCCCGGAGTCCAGCTCCCTCTTGAGCTCCGACCCAGAGGTGGTTGTCGCCGTGGGATTCCCTGGGGGTGAGATGCCCTGACCCCTGCCCGCCCAGGCCCCCCTTGTCCTAGGCCACCCACTGACGGTTCCCCCTCCCCCGCCGCCGCAGCCGGAAAGTCCACCTTCCTCAAGGAGCA